TGCCTGCTTTTGGCAGGTGCTCTCAATTCTTTCAAATGCTGACAAATCAAATATTGCAATTTACATTCCCATCCCACAAAACATGTTGAAATGTTTCTTTCTTGACCCCTTACGTGATTACTGCTACCGCTTGCTGTAAAGACTACAGCTGAAGAGGGCTGCTTGGGCAAAAATTTGTAGTAATGTGTTTACCCTCCCCTGATAGCAAAGGCAAATATGCCCCAGCCCCGCTTTGAATGCTAACAGACTTACCGGCCACTGAGCTGGAAGATGATCTAATGACAAAGCAGAGGAGCCAGAACACTTTGGTTGTCATTTTGAAGTAAAGTTTTTCCAGACACAAAATGAACTGGAGTCTTTTATGCCCTTCCCCCGATTCATGCTAATGAGAGGCAGCCTTAGGGGAAACAGGAATCACTGGACAACCCACTGGAGCAAGACCAAGCTGCTGCCGTCCCTGCTAGCCTCCCACTACCCCTGCTTAGGAGGAACGCGCACAGACACCCCCCTTCCCATACATACACAAGTCTATACTGCTGGCAGTCACCTGTGTTTCCGTGAATAATGCATGGGTATGTGTTTTTAGCGACAGATTTTAATTTTTGGGGAGGGTCTTGCTTCCTATGGCATTCTGTAGAGATAATCATATAGAACAATTACGATTTTACTGGACGTGAAGAACTACATTATAAAGTGCGCTTGGTAGATGCTGGAACATGCGCCACCTCTGCGATTCAGCGTTTGTACAGGATGTGCGTTACGATTAAACATATTTCTGCCCCTCTTGATATGCAGCTGTAGTCTCCTCTTTTAGTTTAAAGAACCCTTTCCAGTGATTCTTTTCAGGCTGAAAAACGCAGTAGTTACTGTCCAGTCCAAGGGAAAACTCTGCTGACCCAAATAAAGCTTTATTTTTAAATCCGCATTTGCTAACATGAAGAACTCTGCAAATTTTCTCACACCAAGGCAACTCTGATTTGGATTACTGAATTAAGTAGGCTTATTCCTATGTTCCCAACTGAAATGGGTGACCTTCTTGCTAGACAAGATTGCCATTGTGACAGTGTCTCACTAGCTGCTACTGTCATGAAAGTTAGTGAACTCATTTGTGCCTTTAAGGTGTGACAAAATTTTAAAACCCTATAAAAGCACATTATCCCAGCCCCTGAAACTCATCCCTAACAGAAGATCTGCCCATCAGTAATGCCTGAGTCATGTGGTGCAGCTATTGCCTAGTTTAAACACTGTTTGTTTTGTTCTGCCTTAATTAAGCAGTTTAATAAAAGTCTTAGAAGTACAGGGCTTTATCTCAAGTAGCAATGGGTGAAGACACAGAAAATAAGCCAGAATAGTATGCAAAATACATGAAATTTTAACATGTTACTCAGTGTGTTAAGTTTTTACTGCAGCATTTATTAATCCTTATTTTCCTGTTATTTTAAACATTTTAATTCCAAAAGTATCCCAACATAGCTATTATGGAAATAGAAATTTAAACTAAGGACGAGGCAGCGCTGAATTCATATGTTCTTTGTGTACCTCATCTCCCGCTCAGCCACCGAGGAGCCACGGATGTGACAGACTCCTGCTGCGGAGGGCTGTGCTGAGGATGGACGGATGGACAGACGGATGGATGGGCGGGTGGATGAGTGTCCTGCAGACCTTCAGTGCTCCAGGAGCCTTCTGTTTAAATTAGCTGGTACTGTAACTCAACCCATATTAATGTATGACTATGTCTGTATGAATGAGTTTCTCCAGACTCTGTACTTGGACAGGATCTTCATTAAAAGGGCTGTAGAAGCATTTGGAGTATTTCTACCGTTGAAGAAGCTACAGGTATGCCAGCAGCAGCAGCCAGGGGGAAAGCCTGCCGAGCCTTCCCCTGCTCTGAGGG